AATCTGTATTAACTGTTGTTTGATCTTATCTTCCAGATTTTCGCTGATCTTGACTTTTTTTTCTGTCCATATTTGTGCCCAAGTTTATTGTCTCAACTAGCTCTTCATGGGGCTGTATGGCCCTTTCTTCATGTTGTAACAGTCTAGCAAGTTCTCCAGGCACCTCACAATCGTCCTCACCTTCGTCCTCGGCTTGGTTGATCGGATTTTCGAAATCATAACTGGCAATAGCAGGATTGTTATCAATGGGATCCATAGTGGATATGGATCTTCAGTTTGATACGTGAGTGTGTGTAAGAGCATAGCTGTATTGATAAAGTAAAGGCAGAAAAGAAAAATAGAGAGCGCAAAATTTGAATGCAAAGAACGTCCAATGCTTCATTTATGATATATGAGATGACATATAATAACCCTCACAGATAGAACCATTTGTGTCTCGGGTAAGACACAAGGCAATAAATTTTAAATTGTTCATTACAAACTTAAAAAACAAGTAAGACAATTACTGCGGAATAAAAGAAACTGGTATAAAATCTGTGTTATACCCCAAAATTTTCCCTCTCACTTATCAAGGATTTTCACAAGATCTATGTGACTCAAGGCTGCATTAGGCTTTGACCAGCTCAAGACACCTCCTCATGCACTGATGACCAAAATTAGGGTTTGAGTTTGCACAAGGATTTTTTTACTATCAATGCTTCATATGACTTTCAAGGATCATTATGGACCCCTAAGATTATTCATGTCAAGCTTCAAGCCTTGGATCACACTTTTGATCAGTCAATTGAACAGTTGACCTAAAAATCAGTTGTATTGGGGGAAAAGTCACCATGGCCAATTTACAGTCAAACTTCATAATTTTTTATCCACACCAACATTTTAAACTCATATGTAGCATTTGATCAAATTTGGACCATAACTCCTCAAGAAATCTGATCAAGTCATCAAAAGGGGCAAAATAGTAAAAATTAGGGTTTTGATTGGGAAAGGGAAATTTCTAATTTTTGACCTAGAAAATGGTCAATTAGGTTAAGACATGATCTCAAAAGTACAATTGCATAATTTTTACCTAATGACATGGTTCAAAACAATACAAGTCCATTGGATTGACAGATGAATTTTTTTAGTCAACTGATCAAAAGTCAATTGTATACTAAAAAGTCAAACTTTGACTTTTTTGTCAAAATCAAATGCCAAAGATTATAATTCATAAAAACATGACAAAACATGAAACTTGTTCACAAAGAAATCAAGAATTCAAGATTTTAGTTTGAAAAGTTGAAATTTCTTAACTTAGAAATTTTTCTAAGTATAGAAAATTTCTTATTTTTCCATATTTTTGAGCCAAATTTTCACCATGATGCAAAGTGATTCACAGGAAACTTCCAACATGAAAGTTGTAGATCTCCATGAAATCTACAACTTTTCTTCACACAATTTCTCCTAATAATTCTTGGATCTCAAATTATAATTTTTTGAATACATGCTCATGAACTTAAAAAGACTTAGTTAAATTTTGCCCTAATTAGGCAAATTTTTTACCTAACTTCATGGCAATTTTTCACATGGTTCCAAGGGTAATATTCAAAAGAAATGCAAATATGAGTTATATAGAACATTGCAATATTTCTAAAATGTCCAAGAACTCCTTGAGATCACTCTTGAGTAGGGAGAATCGAAGAGATGAAATTAGGGTTTTGTCATTTAGATTTCAAGCCACTTTGTGAAGAACATTGGATCCAATCCTTAAGCATGTTGAACAAATCCTAATTTGCAGGCTTCTAACTTGACTTTCACTCTGTAATTAAATGTTTTCCCAGTTGTTGGAAGCTTTAAGCCAAGCATTGAATGCATTGTACAAGAATAATTCCATTTTTGGGAGAAAGGCAACATTGCCATTTTGGAAAAGCAAGCTTTATGAAAAGTCAGCTTGCATTGAGCCTTGCACTTGTTTTTTCTGCACAAACACACTCCACTCAATCAGAACAAGCATGTTTAAAGGACTCAGCCCCCCTACAAGCTTGGTACTACACCTTGAAACCATGCTTGCTAGCCTCAATTCAAAAACAAGTAACCAAGCAAAACATGTGAGTTTTGAAATCTGAATTGTTACAAGACTTAACACCTTTTGCTTATAAGTAGACACACTATTTTCAAGTTGAGACACGAAGGCTAAGACTCCAAAACACTCCCAAACACTTTGCAACTCAGAATCTGCCATAGCTTGACAGTTTTGAACCTCACATAGCCATCTCCACATCCACTCGTGCGTATTGAGTTTTAACCACCCAAACACTTAGTATACATCATATCAAAGTGATCCAGGCCCCTGTTTCGAGACTGTAGCTCCTCCTTCACCATCCACCATTTTCAAATATCAAGCTTACAGGTTGACTTGAGTAGATAGATTCAAGGGCTTTCAGGACAAAGTAAGGGTTGGAATACACTCAAGGAGATCCAGAAAAGCTAAACAGATCCTCAGGCCTTCTCAAAACTTGCTCAAACTCCATTCACGATTCCACCTGTAAGAGGTAAAAACTCAAACTTCTATCTCTTCATACAAGCATCATTTGGTCCTGAGTTGTGAAAGAAAAATGTAGATATCCTTGCTCTAAAGCTAACCATGTTCATAGTTTTCATTTATATTAAATGTGTATAGAGAATTTTGGATTTGAAATTTCTGCAAAAATTAGGTTTCAAATTAGGGCCAGTGAAATTAGATTTTATCTTTAACTTTTAGTTTACATAAGTTATGTGTTTGAACTCGTGGGAAGAAACACCACAATTTTCATGTTTGAACTTTCCATTTTTATGGAGAAATGAGGAAGATACAGGTGGTCCGGCCATGGCTCAAGGTTGAAGATGAAGTTGCCTTCAGGAAGAAGTTTCTAATATATTTGTGGTTTTGTTTATATAAACGGATGTACAGCCACCCCAGTGGTAAGGCAACGCCCGTTATTGCTAGAGGTCATGGGTTCGAGCCTCAGTGCGCTGCCTTTTGCATTTTCTCACATTTTTTCCATTTTTTTGTCCCTTGCAGCGCTGGGCTTCTGTTTCATGGGCCTATGGATTTTTTTTCTAACATTTACACCTTGTTTACTTGTGACACCCCTGGCCCATTATCATTTTATTTATTTATTTTATTCTTATTTTATTTTCTTAAATATATTTTTCTTAATATTAAAAATCATAAAAAATATAAAAAAGATAGATTTATATTTTGGCTTATTTTATTTTTATTTTTCTCACAAAAAATATTTTATTTAGTTATATATTATCTATTTTTATTAAATAACCTTGTAAATTAAATTAGAACTAGGTTAATTTTTTTTTCTTCATACCCATTAAATAATTATTTTAATATAAAAAAGACCAAAAATATTTCATAATATTACAATCTTTTTTTTTAAGACAAAAAAATATAAAAAAATAAAATACTTTTTTTCTTTAAAACTCATGTTCTTTCAATCAAAATAGAATTAGGTTTTTTTATTATTAAAAAAAAGGGATCTTTTCTTAATTAATTTATTTTCTTAATTAATTTAAGTTAATTTAATTTTGATTTATTTATTTCTTTTCTCATTAGGTTTAAGTTAAAACTTTTTCACATAAAAAGCCAAACAAAAATCTTCTTTGCATTTACATGTTCTTGCATATTTAATTCATCTTGTATACTATTTATTCCAATTATTTGTACATATTCAATTTGGTTGTAATAGATTAATTAGGTTTATATTATTGTAATCCCCATTCATAAATTGTATACCCCCTCCCACAAATGTTGTAATAGCGTAGTAACTTTAAATTTCGCAATTTATCGCTTTTACATAAATATGCTAGTAATTAGGGTTTGTATGAGAAGATAAAAATTAATCAAATAGAAAACCCTAATTCAAAACAAAATCAAGCATGAAAATGACACACTTACACACAAGCACCCCCATGGTTACTCCACTAGGTTGCCTTACACAAAATGGTCATATTACGCATGTAAAGTATCTTGGCAAAAACAAACAAATATAAGATCATAGTCCCTCGATGACGCTATTCAAAGTTGCCTTACAAAATGATCTTAGTGTTGTACCCTAAATTTCGCCCATAATTTTTTTCAGTCGCACATTCATACCATATTTTGTCATTTGGTCACAATCATTAATAAATAGCTTCATTCATCACATTTGCATCATTTAATGGTGTTTAAGCTGACCAAAAGTCTGTTTAAATCGACATTTGCATCATTTTGCAGTAGAAAAATAATCGACATTTCACTTCGTGCATTTTTATCTGTTTACTATTTTTTTTTGCATCGCTCCAAGTTGTTTATATGTCGATAATAAAAATATTCTGGTTTTACAGACAGACTGTTAAAAGCGATTCGACACTATACAAAAATTAGTGAGAAAAATATTTCAAGTTTTCACCTTTTACCGATCATTTTATGAATCTGCGTCTCGCGTAGATTATGACGGTGTGCTCACTTTATTTTTTCGGTACAGTTTGAAGTCTCGTATTTAACCGTAAACGTCTGTTTAGCCTGATATTTTAATTATCATTTTATTTCGATTTTGACTTTTTGAATATTTTTTATTTAATCTTTATGACATGTAGTTTATTTTAATGTGTTCATTTTATTTTTTCGGATAAATTTTTGTCCGTTTTTTTATCGTTTTCGGTCATTTTGGGTCTTTATTTTTTATTCAGAAAAAATTCAAAAAAATTATTTTAAATTGAGTTATTTTTAATACTTTCAGTTTTTTATTTCATTTTTATCATTTAAGGGCGTTTTTGTCACAGAAATATATTAATTACACTATACTTGATTTCTATTGGTTATTGACAAAATTTGAGGATTAATGCATATTGAATTATTTTGAACAGTTCTGATTGCAATCATAAACCCATGTCCACTTTATTTTTCTATTTAAGTAGCATTATTTCTTTGTAAATTAAAAACAAAAAAAAACAAACAGTAAAGTCTCTATTTCATTTACTTCCTCTCTCTAACCTTTCTATTCCTCTTCCCTCATTCTAACAACACCACAAAACCAAAACAACTAGCAGTAATCTACCCCCCCCCCCCCCTTCCCACTTCACTTCCTCACATAACAACAGGCCCTTTCTTCAATTATCTTTATCTCTTCACAAAAACTAATCCCTCTCTTTTTCAAACAACCAACTCCCACCAGCAACCTTCGTTAATCAACCTACAACTCCCTTTCATACTTCACCCTACCTACTGTACAAACCTTATTGTTTCACCATATACTCAAATCACCCTTCATCCTTCAATTCATCCCAAACTCCCTTTCGCCGTAACAACATCTAATCGTCCCTTCATCAACATCATCGCCCTTGTTAACAAAATTTAAACCCCCACCGCGCCATCAACTCCCTTGTTTGCTTCACCTCTTTCCTCCCTCAACAAACAGTATTTCACCACCATCCTCATCAGCATCCTTCGCGAATTCAGCCGAGCATCCCTTTCACCCAGTTTATTCAACGCTATTTGGAGCACCGTCAACATCTTCGTCTAGCTACAACATTTTCGACACTGTTCAATAATTCTTTGATTGTACTAGATTATTTAAACTGCATCGTTATGTTCTGATTAATTATTGGATTGCTGCCTGCTTTGTTATTTTGTTTTGATTTGGAAACTATTATGCTGTTGACAAATGCTGGGATAAATTGCTGAAAATAGTTTGTTTAGAGTTTGTGTTTGATATTTTCGTTACTGTTATGCTGTGAAAATCGTGTAATATTTGGTTTGATAGGTCGTAACAGATGCTAGAAAATATGATTGCTTATTTTTGGTTTTGTTGTTGATTTAGTGTTGATAATTGATTTGTTTCGTGATAAAGATTGTATGAAAATTCTGGTTTGTTCTTGGTAAGTTGTGATGATGAATTTGCTATTGTTATGCTGTCCGGATTTATTCTTGCTGAAACTTGCACTCAACTTATTTTTAATCACTTTTGAGCTTAATGTGAATATGACATGAGTTGATTAATTTTGAATTGTCAGTGTTGATGTTGTTTTATTGTTTAAGTCATTTTAAAAGTGGTTTTGATGATGTTTCAAATTGAATTCAATTCACAAAGTTTGTTGGTTTAATATTAGTGTTTGTACATAAGTTTTGAATCACTTGGAAATTGATTTTCATGAGTTTTTTATGCATAATTTGTTGCTGTCCAATTTTTGATAATGCTGATTTTTTGTGTTTGCATTGAACAATATCATGAATTCTTGATTTTGATTTATGTAAATATTCATTTGTTCATATGCATCATACAAGTTCATTTTGATTTTTATACTTTGATTACTAACATAAATTCAAATCTTGTTGCAATTTCATTTATTTTAATTTTTATACCGCTTATGCTACTAACGTGTTTGTTACTGTGAAGGTTTCCAAAAAATCATTTCAAGTATCCATTCTCACATAACGCATCCATAATTCCTACACTTCTCCCTTTACCTTTTTATTGTATTTCACTGTTTTGATTTAATATTTGATACTGTAAATATATACTTGTACATAATATTTTGAATGTATATTTTATTCACTTCGCTGGTAAATAAATTCAGGTTATGTAAATATTATTTTCATCGCATTGCATTTTATTTTTAATTCCAACTAACTTCTGAAAATTCTACGGATGCATATAATTTTTCTCGTGGTGTTAGTTTTATCTGTATATTTCATGTGATGCAGGGAATCTTATACAATGAGCTTTATTCGATATCTTGAGCCTTATCCGGTACCGTGAGCGTCATCCACGGTTTCTTTTTTCCGTGATTTATTTTCACGTGTTTCACTTCTCGCTTGTGATTCATTGCGCTTTATTCACTGCTAGGAGTATTATCTTACATCTGGTTTTTTGATGCTGTCAACTTGTGATTTATTTTCACCTGAGGTTTGGTATACTCTTAGCTTACTTTTTTTGTCTGTGGCTTTAAACCTAAAGGGATGGGAATACAGTATTGACTTCATCATGTCAATTACTGGTTTCTTATTCGGTCGAATTCTTTTTACCGTATCTTTTACCCTCCTGTACATAGGACACTCTTTTCTCCCGTTCTTTAATTTTCAAAACTTTCTCATCTTTTTCAAAATTTTCTTTGTTTATAAACTCGAACCGCTTTCATAATAAACCTCGACTTTGTCGAGTGCTTTTCTTTTAAAACTTCTTTTCTTTAAATAAACTTCAATACATTTAATCATACTTTGACATCTTTCAAAATTAACAAAAACAATTCAACTCATTCAAACCTTTTTGTGCGCACGAGCACCTTTACCCTTCAAAACTTTTTTTGAGTTGAGACATGATTCATTGATAGTCGAGCAACATTCTCCTATCCCCATGGTTATAAAGGTGTCGACTTTTTCACTTGAGTGCTAGAGGCGTTCTCAAACCCTCACTCTTGCGGATGCAGGGTCCATCTTTTTCACACCTTGTGGGCGTTAGTCGTGATTTCTCTCCTAACAATGACAATTTGTCTCCTTGTTTAAAATCAACCAACAGACAATGCTTTTCTAGCCGAACTACGGTGCTCTGACTTTCCCATTGCACGAGGGAGTACGTAGGCACTAAGTCTTACGACCCAAGGCGAGCAACAAAAATAATAAAAAACATTTCATTTTATTTTGTTTTCAAATACTTAATCATTCTTTTTCTTTAGAAAGTAAACCTTTACATAACACTCCTTTTAAAAGAAACCAAACAAAGTGGATCTTGCGGAATACCGAAGATGCTTAGGGTGCTAATACCTTCCCTTCGCATAACCGACCCCCATACCTCGATCTCTGATCTTTTTGGGTTTTGTTCGCTTTTTCCCATTTCCCTTTGGAAACAATAAAGTGCGGTGGCGACTTCATTGTGTTGAGTTAAGTCAATTAATGGCTTAATCTCAAATCTTTACCGCTACATTTCTATTTCATATCATCGTTGTCGCAATTGAGCGCAGAAAGCGTGCGACACTTAGTCCTCAAAAAATGCTAAGATACTTTGCAACATTACTAATCATGGCTATACGATGACCCACGCTCATCCCGTTTACATCCAAAGATAGGGTTTGCTTACCAAATCAATGGTAAGACAACAATGTCAAAGGAAAAGAAAATGAACAAGAAAGACATTTTAGTAGGTAGATCGCTCCTAATTACTTGCTCCATTTCAAAATAAATATCCTTGCTATTTTCAAAACAAACACACACATTTCAAACATCTTACAAACATTGAAAACATTTTCAAAAAGATCAACATCTTTGTATACATTCTTACGAACGAGAATCATTACAAAGATTGCCTAAACAATGGCCTCTTTTACAAAATACTTTCAAAAACCACACAAAGCACAATTTCAAACAAAAGCAAGTGATTTAGCAAGTAACTAAGAGCCCATGGAAAACCATGGATGAAAAGGGTGATAATACCTCCCCTTTCATAATCTACCCCCCAGAACTCAAGAAACAATCTCAAAGGTTTTTCCTGTGCTTTTTCACCTTTCCTTTTGGATAAAATAAAAGTCGGTGGCGACACTTGCTAACCGCAACATTTGCGATAAAATGCAAAACCTTTAAGTCAGTTCTCCCACCGTATCACAGAATTGGAGACTCTGCTGGGGAGTATTCTAAAAGAGGGGTTACCTTAGGGATAGATCACATTTATTTGCTTACATTGTTTGACTTGTATGCTTTACATTATGGTTCTTTGTTTGGGTTTGAATCCTCTACCCGGATTTAGGATACATTATAGGTAAGTAGCAATACGTTGTGGAAACTGTGCGGGGTATACCGACATGGTCTAAGCAATAGCTACGTTAGTGCAACATATTTATGGGTACAGGTAGCCTTTGAGTTAATCAAAGAGAATACGGGGCCGCTGAGTGATGTCATGAAGCACTAATGAACTTTTAGAACCTTTACTTGACCAACTTGGAATTTAGGATGTAGTGAGATGACCGGCTTTGGTGCAGTCCGAAGTTGGTAGATACTCGATACTACACTCATTGAGGTTTGGTTTCTTGGGATATTTCGGTCTCCATTAAAGAGGCTTGAGCTGAAAGAATGACCAAGGAAACAATCCAGTGATATTGAGCTCCTTAGAATCCGGTTACTATTACTAGGACAGGTTTAAGCCAACTAAACTTCAAGAGGGTACTTACCTATAAAACTCCATGAAAGCCTAAACTAAGGACTTGTTTGATTTGTTTGTATATGCATACTTGTACATAACATCATGAACATCATATACATCCACTAACCATTTCAAGGATTTTGGGATTCATCTTTGTTCTTGTTTTGTAGGATATGGATTCACTTCGCAGGAAAACTATTCAAGTCAACCTTGTGAGAATTCCTCCACAACTTAAGGGGCTAGCTTCAAGGATTACTGAGAACTCTCCATTCACTGAGAGACATGGTCGGCTACTCAACTTGGTCACCTCTAACAAATATGAGGACATGATGAAGGTGCTTTTTCAGTTCTTTGATCCTTTGCACCATTGCTTTACATTTCCCGACTATCAACTTGTGCCTACTTTGGAAGAATTATCTCAACTCTTGAGGATTACCATTCTCAATCAACTACCTTTCAACGGTACGGAAAGATACCCAAAGCCATAAGAGATTGCTCAAGCTCTACACTTGCACTCATATGATATCACAACTCATTGGGAAACAAGAAGTGGTGTCAAAGGTTTCTTAGCAAAGTTCCTGTTTGAGAAAGCCCAAAGCTGCTGGAATTCCTTGGACTTACAAGCCTTTGAGGAAATTGTAGATCTCCTCATCTATGGGATGGTTTTGTTTCCAAATCCTGACCAACTCATAGATGTCAACACCGTTAAAATCTTCATATTACGTAACCCGGTGCCTACATTGCTAGGGGATATCCTACACTCTTTTCACACTCGCACAATGAGGAAAAGAGGTGTCCTTATGTGTTTCACTCCTCTCTTGGAAACATGGTTTATTTCTCATCTTCCCCAATCTGTATTAAAAATGAGCAAGATTTAAGGTGGTCACAAAGGTTGATGACGCTCAAACATTCAGACATTCATTGGTGCTCTCGATCCAAAGAGAATGTTATCATTGTCGACCATTATGGAGAATTCCCTAATGTTCCTTTGCTTGGAATTAGGGGAGGAATCACCTACAACCCCTGTTTAGCCTTAAGACAATTTGGTTACGCCCGAAGGGATGGCCTGCACGAGATGCTGATCCAAGGTTTGGTATTCGACTACGTCAACGACAATCAAGGTCTTCGCCAGAGATTCATCCGAGCTTGGAGGATGTTAAACAAGGTGGATAGCAAGACTTTAGGGCACAAGAATTCCATCCCTCTTGAGCCTTACCTCAAATTGGTAC